AGGAGGAAGAGGAGGGAGGGGGGAGCCAACAGCTTTTCCGCGTTCTTCTTATGCAGGATAAATAATAAATCCACAACGCGCGGTTCTGCCATCCGCAAATGAAAATGTGCCAAGTAACGTCCCTCCTAAACGTGTTTCTCCACAAATAATTCCTGCCGTGCACTGCTTTTGGCAACATTTCTCCGTCCCTGTGGCGGCCTTGTGTAACGCTGACGTTGATGGTCGGCCCTCTACAATGGCGTCGTTGCCCGCTTCCTTCTCTTCTCGCTGCCCCACGCCTCTCTTTTTTCTTTTCTTCTCCACCTGACGGCGTTGGCGCGATTACCTGAGGGAAATCACGGCGAGCGGTGTGAACGGAACACACAGCGCCAAATCCAAGGAGGAGGGAGAAAAGAAGAATAAGAAGAAGAAAAAAAAAGGCGGGGCCAGGCGGGACTGGGTATTGCCTTCTCTCTGTATCGGGAAGTTAGAGGCATGACACGAGGTGACGCAGGCCAATCTACATTGCAGGCCTCTTTAGAAGAGCCGGCGCGGTCGCTGAGTGTGCCGGAGTACCTTGAGGCCAACTTGATGGCGGTGCTGACGGAGGGGCTGGAGGATTTGTGCCGGCAACGCCCGGCGAATCCGGTGGATCACCTCGCCCTCTTTCTCTTGCGCCGCTCGGAAAGCAACACGGCGACGGAGGCAGCAGCCAAAGACGCCGTGCCCGCCGAGCCTGCAAAGACGAGTGAGTTATAACGCCCCTTTTTCGTGTGCGTGCGTGTGTTCGCTTCGACCCGCTCTCGCCGTTATGACTTGGCATGCCGTATTCCGAATGTATAGGTGCCTTTTCTGGCAAAGAGAGCGCATTTCGAACACACCCTGCTGGGAATTATTTTTTCTTGCTTCTTTTTCACAGGGGCTGATAGGTCTCTGAGTTCCCATCGTTTTCTGCCCTTGTTCGCACGTCTCTGGACTCAGTTCCTTGTTTCTTCTGTTGTTTCTGTTATCGTTGTCGTTGTTTTGGCCTTTTGGCCTGGGTGGGGGTGCCGAGTTGCCTGCGCTCCGGTGGCAACCCGTCCACAACTAAAGACGGGAATCGGCGGCAGGTGGGAGAAGGTGGAAGAGGAGAGGGAAAGGTGCCACTCGCGAATGCAATGCGGCGTGTGCAGTGTTGCCTGCTCCCCGCCACGACGACGTTGTCCTCCTTCCTCGCACGCCACGCGGCAGCCGCACACCCGGGGCGCCAGCTGACGGCAAACCGTGCGAGTGTGGGGCTCGTGTCAGACTCGCGTTGCATCTTTGAAAATCTGGCGGTGGAGGAGGCGCTGCTGCGCGGTATTGTGCTGCCGCCTGGGCAGCAGTTGTTGTTTTCGTACGTAAACAGCCCGTGCGTGGTTATTGGCCGCAATCAGAACTACCTGCAGGAGGTTGCAGTTGCCGCTGCGAGCCGCGATGGCGTGGCTGTCGCGCGGCGGAGCTCCGGTGGAGGGGCGGTGTACCACGACGCGGGAAATGTGTGCCTCTCTTTTTTCACGCACCGTGACGCGTACCACCCGGAGAGGACGATTCAAATCGTTCGCTTGTTTCTCTGCCGCGCCTTCGACATCTGCCCAGAGCGGCTGACCACAACGTGCCGGCACGACTTATTTCTTGACGGGAAAAAAATCACAGGCTCCGCGATGCGGGTGCAGCGCGACATCGCGTACCACCACTGCACTTTGCTCGTCGCGTCTTGTCGCGAGCGCGTCGGCGCGTACCTGCGCCCGGAAGGCCAGTACGTCTCCTTCACCACCTCGTCCATCGTCTCGGTTCGCTCACCGGTCACGACGCTGCAGCTTTCCGGCGTTCTGCCGCGGTTTTGCTGCAGCGGTGACCAAAGTCAAAACGGCAATACGGACAGTAATGACGACGTGGTGCGGTGCACTCAAAATGCACTGCTGGACTTCTTCCTTTGTCACGGTGGTGAAATTATTTCGCACCAGTCGCCGTGGGAAATAGAGCCGTCTGCGCTCCTTTGGCCGAAGAGTGTGGAGGCGAAGGAAGATGAGGTAAAAACGTTGCCTGCTCCGAGGGAAGACGTTTGCGTGTTTAATCTTCTCAGCACGCCGCAGGAGGATACCCCCATCGTGGACGCTGAGGGTCGCAGACCGGTCGCCGGGTCCTCGAAGACGTTGCGTGAGGAGGTGGACCGTTTGCGCTCGGCCGATTGGATGTTTTCTATGCCCAAGTTCACGACGTGTGTCGCCGTTACCGTGGCGGATCTGCTTACATTTCAGCAGGACGCCCGTGGTCACCCGCGCCTTCCCGCGGAGGTCATTCTGTACTTGATGCAGGGCCACGCTCAGTTTGAGGTCACGACAGTTGTCGAAAAGCGCCGCATAACAGCTCTGACGACGCGTTGGGCGGAAAGCACGGCGGCTGACGCGGGAGAAGCATGGTGCGCAAATGTGCTTCGTGTGCTGCTGGAAGGCGTCAACGTGGATGATGTCACTCTGAGCGTGAGTGAGGACGACGCGGTGCTTCTGGCGGCGCTCCAGTTTGAGTGTTTCGATGTCATGAATGGTGTGCCTCTCCCACCTGTTGCGGCAACGTCTGCTGCTGCTGACTGCAGCAGGAGCGGTTTGGATGGGCAATCGGCTGTGCTTCTTTTTCTACAGACGCTGCTCTGTGTATGGCGCGCTAAGAATGTCTTTGTCCCCGTAAGCACCGGAGAGCGGAGTGTGTCGTCCGCAGCGTCGGAGTGAAACCGACGGAGTTGGGGGTGCGGCGGGTGGAGCGTAAAACTAAGACAAGGAACGAATAATAACTTATCTGTAGACGTACCGCGTACCCATACACATGCACACACACACACATATATATATGAAGTGGTATTGTCGCAGCTCCATTTCCCCTTCTCGTGTGTGTGTGTGTGTCTGTGTGTGAATGCGTGTGTATGTTGTTGTTTTTTTATGCCCGACCAATTTTCATCGCCCCCTCCCTCCCCCAGCGACGGTGGCTGGGAAGTGCAAAGGAAGTGAGCAAAGTGAGCGCAAGTAGGTGCAGGGTTTAAATGCAGAGGATTGTATCGCGTCTGTCACGGTGTGTCTATCGCGCAGGACTGGCGCGGGGTGGGCGGCTCCACGCCCCGCCGCTCGCCCTGTCGACTCGCCGCTACGGAGGAACCTCACCGCTGCACGCCCCAAAGCGCGAGACGCCCGCGTATCAATGCGGTGAGTGTGGGAAGTCGTTCCGGCTGCTTAACGCCTTGAACCATCACATTATGACGAAGCATGCGGGACACGCGAAGGCGATGGTGCTCAAGGAGGGCAAACTGGAGGAGGTCAAACCAGACGAGGCAAAACGCAAGCCCCCACAGGCCGCAGAAGCCACCTCTGCAGCCTCGACAGCGCCGAACGGAGGCACCAGGCCCGCCACACATCCCTCAACTGGATTTCCCGGCATGGCGTATTCGCCTCTTGGGGGCGCCGCAGCGTTTACAACTCCTTTTGGAGTTCCCTCGGCTGCTCCTCTGACATCGCCGGCCGCGCCAGGAGCTGCGGCTGCTTCCGTGGCAAACGGCACCGGGACCGAAAATTCCGTGTCGGATGAGGATGCTGACAAGAAACTTTTTGTCTGCACGATTTGTCAGAAGACGTTCCGCCTGGAGGCTGCGCTGCAGCACCATTACCAAGCCAAACACAACATGGAGATGCCAACAACCTCTACAAGCACGACGAGTACGCGAGCGGCGACTCAAGGCAGTACCACCGCGGGGGCAGCAAACACCATTTTTGGGGGCAACACCGCTGACGCAACCAAATCTACGACTGGGACTCACTACGTTCATAGCCAGGAATCTGTTCTTCCTCAGGCGCCACAGTACCACCTTGATGTCGCCCCCAACGCACCAGAAGAAGGAGATGTGGCGGCTCACTGGCGCTGCGTCAACCACTGTGTTGTGCTGGGGCCTGTGCAGAACATTCAGGAAGGCTACGTATTTGAAGAGAAGGTTGTGCAATTCACATTAATCACAGACTTCGAGGGTCCTTCACCTGGCGACCCGGATAAGGACTTTCACACAGTAAGAGTCTTTGATAGCTCCTTCTGTGAGCAGCTAAAAAAGGAACTGAAGGAGGGCGAACGGTTCCTTGTGACGGGTCGGTTGCGCATGATACCACAGTACGACGGTGCGATGAAGAAATATTACCACTACCCAGTTATTCAGGTCCACCCGGGATGCGGGTCGGTGGTGCGGGTCTGATGGAGAGCGTGACCTGCTCTCGGTGACTCTGCCGTGGTTGTCCTCTGCGTGTGTGTGTGTGTGGTAGGATAAAGTAAAGGAGTAGTCGGACGTAGTTCGTAGG